AAAACATCCCCTCCCAGCTCCCTGGCTACAGGCATGGTCCCTCCAGTTGCTGGAGCAGCAGGGATGGGGCTCCCCATTCCTGTGAGCAGCAATTACCTGCTTGAAGCTCTGAGTCCTTTGCAGCTCCAGCTGCAATCCAGCTGCCAGTGTGTGGGATGCCTCCACAGCCCGCTGAGCCAGCGGCTCCTGGGCCGCTGCTGCCTGCTCCAGCACTGCCAGCTCCTGTGCCAGGTCTGCAGCCTGCACTGGCAGCACCTGCTGAAGGATCAGCAGAGGCTCCATGAGACCATCTCCCAGCTCAGGAGGCAGCACTGGTAAGGCAGGAGGTAGGCACACCAGCAGGAGATGTAGTTTGGGTGCTGCTCACCTGCCCCAGAGCAGCCACCTGCAAAAGTCTCTCAGCCAGGTCAGCATGTGCCTGTTCCACAGCTGTCACAGCTCTCCTGGCCCCCACTGCCACCTCTGCCATGCCAGCACCCAGCTCCTCCTGCGCCCGCTGGACTTCCTCATACCTACACGGACAGGACACTCCTGTCAGCCAGGGCCCTCTGGTCCCTTGAAGGATGACGAGGACAACTTGGCCCTGCACATGGATGTAGCAGGAAATTCTGGGGGCTTTTCGTGAACTCCCCCAGCACCAAGCACACTGTCCCTGTGCTTCACAGCACTGCTGTGCAATGAGTTTAAAGGTGCCCAGCATGTGCGTGTTGGGTAGGTGCCAAATCACCACAACCAAGTCCTCTAACAGGGACCTGGCCAGAGGAAAGGGGCTGAGGTGCCCTGCCAGCCCCTCACCCGGCCTCCAGCTCATGCTGCACGTCCCGTGTGGCGTTTCCCTCCAGCAGGTCCCGCAGGAGCTCGGAGCTGGCGTTGGAGACACGCAGTGCTCTCCTGACCACGGCCTCCACCTGTGCCATGGACTCCTTGTGGCTGCAGGGACAAGGACACCCAGACACAGGGTATCAGGATTGGCCTCCTGCCAGAGGAGTGGGCCCCCTGCACCCCCAGCTGGGCTGACAGCTTCCTCTGCCTGTCCAGGTCTTACCTCTTGGACAGAGCCTGAGCCTCCAGTGCCCAGTGGCTCCAGTTTGTGGGCTGCTGTGGGATTTCCTGGGGAATTTCCTTGGAATGCAAACAGCAGAGCTGAGACCCTTGCAGGGAGCAGGCACCCCTGGACCCTGCCAGCCCAGCACCACAAGAACCTCCCAAAGGGCTAGAGCAAGGAAAGTATCTCCTCTTGACTCAGCTGCAAGGAGGGCTACACCCACATGGACCCCAGGCTTTCCTGCTGCCCCGCTCTGCTGGTCACATCCCACCCCAACAGTCCCGAGAGGCACATCCCAGTGTCCCCCAGGATTGTCACCACCCGCCTCGGGAGCCCAGGGCCACTGAGAGCCCCCACCGTGGTAGCCAGGGTGTCTGCAGCATGCAGGATCTCCTGCTGGGCCGACTGCAGCACGGCCCCAATCTCCGAGAGCAGCGTGCAGGTCTTGGGGGGTCCATGGTCAGAGCATCGGGTGGCCCGGCTGGCATTGGTGAGACGGCCCCGTGCAGTGTTCAGTGCCCCTGCCAGCTGCCCCACCTGTACCAAGAGGGTGGCCCAGGCACCTGTGGGCAGCACAAGCATCTCGTTGCCCATTGGGGTTGTGTGGGGCTGCCCCATGCCCCAGCCCCTGCCAAACACCTATTTATGAAAGGGGAATACAGTCCCTCTGGGTGCTCAGGAGGGACCCAGGAATTCAGCACCCAAAGGGTACCCATGTGCTGGTGCTCAGCCCCCAGTCATGCCCATCACTGCCTGCTCCTCAGTGGTGTGAGCATCCCTGCAGCGCTCTGTCCTCCCACAAAGGCATGTCCCCTCCATTGTCCTCCCCCAGGCCACACCACACTGAGGCCAGCGCTCACCTGGGACCTCCTTGCACCCACCCAGCATGTCACAGCACCCTGAGGGCGCAGAGGGTGGAGCAGGTGAAAGGAAGGAGAGCCCCCTGTACCTCTCAGGAGATGTGGGCTGGGCAGCCCATCTCCCCGGGGTGCATCTCCCAGCATGGCAGACTGGCCCGGGCGGGCATCACAGCCTGGCTTCTGCAGCCATTCCTCCATCTCCTGCAGCCTGGCCTTGAGGCGCTCAGCCTGCGGGCAGGACACGGGGGGACACAGGGGGACAGTGAGGCACTGCAGGGGCGGGGTGCTGTGCCTGCCTCAGCAGTGCACAGGCTGTACCTCGTCCTTCACCAGCCCGTAGCAGGCAGGACACTGCTGGCAGCGGGAGCTCAGTGGCTCAAGGAAGAAGTTGGCCTGGCAGCGATCACACTTGTAGCCCACGAAGCCAGGGTGGCACAGGCAGGTGCTGTTCTCGTGGCACTGCGGGGTGACGGAGCCCAGCGGGGAGCAGTTGCAGGCTGCAGTGGTGGCAGAAAGGCGTCACACTGTGGCTGCCAGCCCTGCTTTAGGGACGAAGATGCAGTGCCCATTCCCATTACCTCGGCAGCCCCTGGCAGAGAAGCCAAAGAAGCCGTGCTGGCATTGATCACATTTCTTCCCTGTGACACCGGGTTGGCAGGAGCACTGCCCTGTCAGCACGTGGCACCCGCTCTCCTGTGACCCTGTTGGGTGGCACTCACAGCTGGCATGAGAAGTGGAGGGTCATGAGCAGGCAGTCAGTGCAGAGAGCAGAGCTGAGAACATGGAGCCTCTGCTGTCCCCTGGCAGTCCCATGCCATGCCCCATGCCATGCCCCACATACCTCTTGCACCCCACGGTGGGCTCCAGGCCGTAGTAGCCGGGCTGGCACTGCCCACAGGCTCTGCCTGTCACGTGTGGGAGGCAGTGGCACTGGCCCGTGCCAGGATCACAGCCCTCCATCCTCGGGTCTGAGCCACTGGGGTTGCAATCACAAGCTATGGGAGACAAAATAACTCCAAAGAGTCCCTTTGAGTTATTTTTGAGTCCCTTTGACTCCAAAGAGTCTGCAGGCCAGAGTGTCTCTGGGGAAGGGCGGCAGTGGAACACGAGGGCAATGGGGAACACAGGGTGGGTAACCTGGACTATCCATCAACCCCTAAACCTGCTGGGCATCCCCTTCCACCCTCTGCCTTCACTGCTGGGAGGATTTTGGCCACAGGTGAGCTGTGCCCGGGGGCTGTACGTACGTGCACACTTCCCAGCAGGGCTGGGAGCCAGCGCATCCCCGTAGAAGCCCGGCCGACACCTCTCGCAGTGGTCGCCCATTGTGTTGTACAGGCAGCGCAGGCATCGGCCCGACACGGGGTCACAGTTGCCCACGGCATTGAGATCCACGTTCCCGTGGCACTGGCAGGGCTCACAGGGATGCACGGGTCCTCTCTGCCCCAGGGGGTCCCCGAAAAACCCGTCATCACAGAGCTCACAGCGTTTTCCTGGGGAAGGTGGAAAGGTGGGCAGGATCCAGCCGTGCCCACGCTGCCCACAGCCCCTGTGCCCACCCACCCCCAGCCTCACCTCTCTGCCCCGGGGGGCAGTGGGTGCAGACCACCTCCCCAGTGCTGGGCACCTCGGTGCAGGGCGAGCGGCCGGGGCAGGGGCAGGGTTTGCAATCATCAGAGCGCCCAGAGAAGGGGTTGCCATAAAAGCCAGGGCTGCAGCGCTCGCAGAAGGGACCCTCTGTGTTGTGCAAGCACTGGCAGTGCCCTGCAGGGAGGAAAACAGAGCTGAGGGTCTGCGAAAACCCAACTTCGAATAACAGCAGGGACTGTGGGAGGGAGTCCCGCAAGAGGAACGCGGTTCTCCAAGCAAAGGGTTGCACATCTCCAACCAGTTGTCAGGACATTTTCCCTCCTTGCCCTGTCTTTGGTCAAGGGAGAAGGTTTTGGAGAGGGAGAAGGTTTTGGAGAGGGAGAAGGTTTTGGAGAGGGAGAAGGTTTTGGAGAGGGAGAAGATTTTGGAGAGGGAGAAGGTTTTGGAGAGGGAGAAGGTTTTGGAGAGGGAGAAGGTTTTGGAGAGGACACAGAGGCCACAGCGACGCAGGGACGAAGCAGCGCTGGCACAGACATCCCCATCAGTGTGTGCGGAGGCTGCCGGCGCCTGCCGTAATCCACAACACATTTCTGAGTGTCGAGGCGCTCCTTTCCAGCCCGCCTTGGAAAACACAAGCAGCCGGCCCTGCACCCAGCGGGGAGCATCTCCCCCAGAGCGAGCCCAGCCGGTGAGTCAGCCTTCCAAAATCGGCTGTGAGCAGGAGAGGGAGGAAGAGGAGGAAGAGCGCTCAAGGAACCCCCCACCTCCAGGCAGATGCTCTGTTCACTGGAGAGAGGAGCAGGGGGAGGATTCCCCCATGTGTTGTGGGGTCAGGTCATACCAGGAAGGCTGCGCAGGAGGGAGTGTTATTCCATTTTCCCCACGTCCAGGCAGAGTCAGACGATGGAAAATAAAGAAAAGGCGGGTGGCAGGAAGAAGTGGAAAAATAAACTAAAGGAAGTGCGCAGGCTGGCAGCGCCCAGGCCGGAACATCAAAAGTCTGGCCCCATCCCTGGGGATTGTGCCAGAGCCAGCCCCGGCTCTGCGGGATGAGGGCGGGTTTGCAGAGCTGCCGCTGTGTTTTTGTGGGCAGGGCAGGGGCACTCTGCCTCCTCCAGCCCTCTCCATCCCTGCTGTACATCACCGAGGAGAACCAGCCACCGAGGGGTTGGCTGGCAGCACAAGAGCTGGCTCCTCTGGTGTCTGCCCTCAAGCCAGCACCTCTGTGTTCTCCTGCTTTTTTCTCTGCTCAGGTTAACCCTCAGCTGCAGATTCCAGAGCTGCACCCAGTCCTGCTCCTCTCATCGGGCAGTGAAGCTGCCTATGAGACCCAGCCCAGAAAAACTCTCTCTGCTGCCCCAGCCGCTGCTCCCACACTCTTCTGAAGACCAGCACCCTTCCCTTCTCCTCCTTAAAAGTCATCAAGTATCATGAAAAATGCTCCTCTAATTATAAATTAACACCATTATTGCACTTATCTTTGCAGTTTGTGCCTAGAACCACCCAAGCAATTCAACTTGCAAATTTTGGGAACCACAACCTCACCAATGGTTCCCAGCTGCCCTCAGAACAAGCAAAGGCATGGATTTGTCACCCACGCACGGAGCAACAGGTGAGTGGCGGGGTTGGGGGGTGCACACCTGTGAGGGGGTGGCAGTCCCCGTGCTGGTTGCAGGTGCAGGGCACGCAGCTGACGAAGGGGCCGCCAAATGGGATCTCCCTCTTGAATCCAGGAGCGCAGGACTGGCAGAACTGCCCAGTGTAGCCCATGGGACACGTGCACTCCTCCACCCAACCTGCCCGTGTGCCTGGCCCAGGGCGAGCAGATGTGAGCTGGACCTCGCTCAGGGACAGCCTGCCTGTGAGAGGGGAGAGCGGTGTGGGAATGGGATGGTGCGTCCCCTGCTCTGCTCTGAAATGCTCCAGACAGGCACAGGAACCCCAAAATACCTCCCTGAGAGCCCAAGAGTGTTCACAGAGAGAAGGCAGCCCCTGCCCCAAAACACCCCCTACAATCCCTCTCATCCTTGAGAGCCTGATGCTGCTTTGATGTCTCCAGTCCCACCCCAGCCTGGTCCCCGTGTTTTGTGGGGCCACCTTTGGGATGTTTTGTGGGGCCACCTTTGGGATGTTTTGTGGAGCCACCTTTGGGATGTTTTGTGGGGCCACCTTTGGGATGTTTTGTGGAGCCACCCACCTCTCACGGGGCCGCTGACGCGGAGGCGGAGGGAGGTCAGGTTGGAGAGCAGGCGCTGGAAGCTGAAGGCCGACAGCAAAGGCTCCGCACCCTCCTCTGCCTCGTGCAGCCTGTTGGAGAGGCAGTGGGGGAGGCAGGGGTGCTGCAGGACACTCAGCTCCTGGCTGGGACCTGGGCACAGCACAGTTAAATCCCCAAGGGGGGCAGCGAGCAGTAAAGGGCAGCCCAGACAAATCAGGCACTGAGCCCTAAACCCCACTGATGTTCCCCAAAGCTCTGAGATGGGTACCTGAAGGTGACAGCCTGCTTTCCATGCTGGAGCTGGCTCTTGCTGCTGGACATGGTGATCTCCATCCCCTCGCCCTCCAGCAGCAGCTGGACCTGGAGCAGGGGCGCCCCACCTTCTGTTCTTGTCCCATTCTCCACTCCCAGCAGCAGGGACAGGAGCTGCCCATAACTGAGGCGCTGGTTCTGCAGAAACTTCTCTGGGAGGGGAGAGAGGAGCAAAGTCTGTAGGACATGAAGGCATCAGCCCTGCCAGGACTGCCAGTGCAGTCCTATTCCCTCCACCATCATCAGGAGCCAAAGTCACCCTCCCAGAGTGATGCCAGCTCCAGCCTGCCCTCCTGGGGACCCGGGCCACTGTTCCAATACCCCTCGCTGTCTTCTGCTACAGAAATCTGCTCAGCTCTGGAATGGAGCCCAGTGCCTCCTGCACCAGCATCGCAGTGGGACGAGAGCACCAGAGGGTCCTCGTGGCAGAGCAGCCCCCCGGGGACCCAGCACACACAGTACCTGGCGCAAGAAAATCCACAGACTCCTCTCCATCCCACTCGGCGATGATCTCCCGGCCAGCCCAGCGCAGAGGCAGGTCTGCGGTGCCTGGAGCTGTGGCAGCCCAGCCCTCCAGCCCTGTGTGACAGGATACAGTGACAGGGCTCAGCTAAGGGAGCTGTGAGTCCCTGCCAGCACAGCACCAGCAGGGTGCTGCTTTCAGGGGCTCTGTCCCTCCTCCCAACACTCTCTTGAGTCTTGGAAGGGGCCAGCATTTTGTAACACCCTGCTCCACTTGGGCTCTGCGTTCTCATGCACTGGAGGGTGGCCTTAACCACCCCCCATCTATTTATTTTCTTAGATTTGGAGGAAATTATTATCTTTAAACTTTTGCCCCCTGCCTGTGCTGCTACTCTAACATTACTGTGGGCTGGTGAGCACAGAAAGCCTGAGAAGAAATGCTGGAGAAGCCCAGAATAGACAGGGCATAATTGCATTAAGTTGGTTTCCTTAAGAAACCAGTTAAACTCCCCCCTGACTCTGCAGAGTTGGTTATTTCTTCCAGCCCTGCAGGACAAACACTTGGAAATCTCTCAAGTGGGCTGTGCTCCGTTATCAAATCATCCCCAGTTTATACTTTTGCCCAGTTTAGGAAAATTCCATCTGATCCCCTCTCCGCTGTGGACTGGGGAATGTTTTGGGGAGCGGGGATTTAGGAGGGCGCTGTGGCTGCATCTCAGCTCGGAAACTGCCAAACCAGCCCCCAAAGGAGCAGCCCCAAATTGCCTGTGTGAAGGGTGGAAAAAAAGACTCTGTTTAAAGCCTGGCTCAGTTTCAAGGCCGTAGAAGACATTCCAGCAGCACAGCAATTGGCAGCGCGGTTTAAAGGCAATTAAGACCCACCCGTGCCTGGCGCATTCGTATCCATCTGGGAACGGGGAGGCACAGGGGGTGCCAGCCGTGGGTGCCCGTCCCCGCGGTGTCCCCGCAGGGGCTGCACACGCCAGCATGCGCGACAGATGGCAGGGCTTCCCCGAGCATCCCAGCCCTGCCAGCAGCCGGCCAAAAGCACCACATCCCTCCCGTCCCACAGCGCTGGCACATCCCAGCCGAGCATAGGGAGAGGAGGGAATCATTGGGAAAGTTCCCAGCAGGCTCCATCCTATTATTTCTTTCTCTTCCTGAGCTGATCTTTAGTGCTCCTGCAGTCTCTGGTGTGGTGGAATGCCCACGCCTGGCCCCACAGGAGCAGGGTGGCTCGGGGGAGTCACGGACACCCTGTCACCGTGGGGCCGGGGACAGAAGCTGAGGTTTAACAAACCAGAGAAAACCCTCTCCACCCATCACCAGCTCCAAAGGGAGGTACTCAGCCCCGAACAGGGACATTCATCCACATCCTTCCCAAACATCTTGGCTGAAATTGGCGGAGCAGCGCCCTCCGTTTCACCGGTGCGGGGAGGGGGTCGTTACCTTGGCTGAAGTCGGAGAGGATGCAGGTCTCCTCGTAGCCATCTGCCGCCCTGCAGGCGCTGGAATGGCCGTAACAGAAGCAGCTGGTGCAGCCGATGGGGTTGTGGGGTTGCAGGTTAAACCAGCCCGGCTGGCACCTGGACACGGGGAGGAAGGAGACGGGAGAATGTGGCACAGGGCAGGCAGAGCTGCAGGGAACCATGGCAGTGTGTCCTTGTGGGACGCTGGTGACAGCTCCTTGTAAACCCAGTCCCAGTGGTGCAGCGGAATGCAGCCCCACAGCCCTGCCACCAAGTCCAAGCCTGGAAAGGGACAGTGTTCCTGTCCCCATGCCAGGGCAACGGTGCTCACCTGTTGCACGAGTGCCCCTCCACCCTGTCCTTGCAGGTGCAGTGCCCCGTGGTGGGGTCGCAGGTGCCCACGCTGCCCGCGGGGTCACAGGTGCAGGGTCTGGATGGGGTGAGGTAAAGGCAGGAGGTGAGTCCCGGTTCCATCCCGCTGCTCCTGCCCGGGGCCGGTTCCTCCTCACCTGCAGCCACCTTCGCTGAGGCTGTGGTATCCATCCTTGCAGCGCTCGCACTTCCAGCCCGTCACGTTGGCTTTGCAGACACAGGTCCCCGAGTTGTCGCACTGGGGCTGCAGGGAACCTGCGGGGACAACCTGAAGCTCAACCCCAGCCGGGGAGAGACACAGGACGGGGAAGATGGGGAAACCCTGAGCAAAAAACAATCCACCAAAACCATCCCTCCGACCAAACTCCGGCTGGGGCAGCAAGAGCTCTGCAGCCGGAGCCTGGCACAGCCCTACACACCTGCGGGGTGGCAGTGGCAGGGCTGGCAGGTTCCCTGCGGCTCCCAGCGGTAGTAATTCTGCCTGCAGCTCTCACAGTGGGGCCCGGCCGTGTTGTCGCGGCAGTTGAGGCAGTGTCCCCCGTGCCCGGTGCGCCGGAACAGCTCCCGGTCGTAGAAGCACTCCTCGGAGCGGCCGCTGCAGTTGCAAGCTGGGGGAGAGGCGGGAGGATGGGGTGGGAGCAGAGCTGGGAGCAGAGGCTGCACTCGTGGGGTAAAGGGAATGGGAACACTCGGGGTGCTGCTGTGAAGGGGAGCCCCGGGGTACAAATCCTCCTTCCCTCCCAAAATGGAGCAAGTGCAGGAAGGGCAGGAGGTGCCAGATGGGCTGATGCACCAGCCCAGCCCATCAGGGCCCGGAGCCACCCGGGGGGTACTCACGGAGGCACTCGTGGGCAGCCTCGGCCGTGCCGCGCGCCCAGGGCCGGTCCTGGTAGAAGGGCTGGCAGCGCTGGCAGTCGGTGCCAGCCGTGTGGTGCTGGCACACACACACCAGCTGCCCGGCCTCGTCCGGCGCGCACTCGCTGGCGTGGCCATTGCATTTGCACCTGCGGCGAGACCCCGGCGCGGGGGAGCTGCTCTGAGCACCGGGGTGGGCAGCAGCAGCAGCAGCAGCAGCAGCAGGATGGTGCCCAGGCTGTGCAGTGTGTGACCCCGCTGCTGGGCTGGCGCTGGGGTGAGAGCAGCTCAGGCTGTGCTGGCCTTGAGGCCGCCCGTCCTGTTCCCGAGGCTCTCCCAGCCTGGCCAGTCAGGAGGTCACACTCCGAGGGTGGCCCATGCTAACCAGCTCCAGCTGCTGTCCCTGGAGGTGGGACAACAGCTACAGGTCTGTTGGCTGGCTGGGAGCTGTCCCAGCCCTGCTGTCTGGGTCAGAGAGCTCTCTCAAGGATGGCGAAATTTTCCACTTCTCCCAGGTGGGGAAGGGCATGAGCAGCACCCACATCAAGTGGGTGCCACCTGCATCTCTATCCCATATCTGCTGCCCTTTCCTGCTGGCAGTTTTTCCAGCTTCTCTGCCTGTGGTCATGCTGACTCCAAGCTCCTCCAGCAGCCTTTGCAGCTTCAGGTTATCTTTCCATTAGAACCCCATGGCTCCCCTTTTGCACTGCTCAGGAACCATTAGGGTCACAGGAGGAGCAGCACGAGCCCCAGTGTCATTAAAAGCCATTGGGCTGGGAGGGAACAAAGCAAATACAGCTGGTGGCACATGGAGCGGGCTAGTGGGGAAAAGATTTCTGCACAGCTGGGAGGTCTCCAGGTTTAATCACCTATCTCGGCACTTCCAGCTCCAGTTTACACATGGAGCAAGCCACATCTGAGCAGTTTGCCCCAAAATCACAATTAAGACAATACTGAGGTGGGGAGCAGCTGCCCCAATCCCACAGCCCCAGGAAGGTCCCCACATTTCTGCCCGGCTGCTCCTCACCTGCCACCAACGGAGAAGTCAGATATGGCATAGTAGTATGACTGCAACACCTTGGGATCCTTGAAGATGTCATCCCCAAATGTGTTGAGCCGGTTCAAAGAGATGAGCAGGTCAGTGACTGTCACCCACTCCTGCAGGGGACATGGGGAAGCCACCTTGGTAGAGAGATCTGGGCCACCAGTTCCCAGCCCAACCAGGACAGATCCTGCAGCTTTTCAAGCCAGGATGCAGCGCATTGCCAGCACTTTTACCCCAGCTGGGTGCAATAATACCCTTGATCCCAAGGCTCCATGCACCACACCCCTCCCACCCTGATGGCACCTGCAGCGCGGGGCTTCCATCAAAATTGTAGGCGCTGGGCCGTCCCTCCAGGGTGGAGAAGGCCACGTTGCCCCCGCTCAGCGGGGAGATGTCGCTGAACTCGTCGCTGCAGAAGGCCACCTGCTCGTCCTCGCCTGGCCGCAGGTACTGCCGCGGCCGCTTCCCGTAGGTCTTCTGGCAGGACGCGCTGTAGAACTGGAAGGGCACCCAGGGCCCCTCAGCCTGGCTGCGCTTGTAGATGGCAAAGCTCTCGGGGCGGCTGGTGTGGAACTTCAGCCGCACGTAGGTGATCTCGTAGGCTTTGCCTGGGGACAGACCCACCGTGCTGCGACCCTCTGCCGGCCACCCGATGGGCACCACAGCCCGGATTACCCCAACAGCATCCTGCAGCACCCACCACAGCTAAAATCCCCACTGTCACACAGCTGCCCTCCACCAGCTCCTCCTCCAAATCCTGTCCAGGTCCAAGCTGGCTCTCACCCCAGTGCAAGGCCTGTGCCTTGTGTGGGTGGCATGGGCAAAGAGCAATTCCAAATCCAGGCTCTATTCAGCAGCTGTGGGGAAGGGTTAGGCCCACAGCACTGAAAGCATCCCCAGGGCAGTGGTGCTTTAGGGATGGAGAGTTGGAAAGGGTCAAGGCCAATCCCTTCCCAGGGAGCTCCATGCCAGGACCTGGCATCGCTTCCATCCTTGCTGGGATGAAGACAAAGAGAGGCCACCAATCCTTGGGGCATCCAGCGAGCTCTGAAAGAGCTTGAAAGAATTAGCAGAAAGGAGAAGAGAAAACACCAAAGTGAACATCAGACCCATTTAATTGCCAGAGATGAAGGACCAGCTCAAAGCCTGAATTGCTCCATAACAGCACCACTCCTGACAGCACAAAACAATTAGCTGCAAGGTTTTGGCTTTATTTGAAAAGATAATGAGTTGGGAATGTTAGAGGGGTTATTCCAGGACTAGGAAAACAAGCCTTTAATTGGGCCCATATGAATACTGTCGCGTATGTGCCGCGACTTTGCTGCGGGGGAGCCGAGGCAGCCGGCTACCAGCGCTGGGAAAAGCAGCTGCATCCCATCAGGGATGCAGGAAGCGCCCGGGAGAGGGGGACAGACCCACTCCCAGCCCACCCGGAGGTGCTGAGGGCCAAGAAGGGGCTGTCCCACCCTTGCCTTGTGTCCCTCTGGGGCTGGTGACAGTGGGGTGCCCCTGTCCTGCGCCCCGTGCAGGGGGGACGCCTGGCAGGCGCCGGTTCCCAGCCTGCACGGTCCCAAGGGGGTTCTCTACCAAAACAGCGAGGTCAGGGCCGTCACCTCCCGGAGCAGTTTCCTCTGGGAGAGGAAGGGAAGGCAGGGCTGTGTCAATAAACTGCCCCAAGTGGCCCCACACGAGGGGAGGGGACGGCCACGCTGGAGGAGCCCCAGTTTGGTGCCTCCAGCTGGGCTGGAGGAGATTCACTTTTCTGAGGAATTTTCATGAGAGGAGAAATTTGGCTGATTAAAAAGCCTGTCTGAGAATTTTCATGTGCTTTTCCCAGACAGGCTTTTTAATCAGCCAAATTCTCCTAAGGGAAAAAAAAAAAAAAAATTCCAGAAAAGAAACCAGGTTTGTTGTCTCCTCTTTGCTGCCCAGGTGTGACATGTCCCAAAGCCAGATGTGCTGCTGGACAGTGATGTTGGGAAGGGTGCACAAGCAGCACCAGGACCCCTGGGTGCTCTCCCAGCTGTGCTGTCACTTGAATAAATTGTGCACCTGCCTCCCCCTGAGCCCAAACTGCAGCTTGTACTGCTCTGGGGCTCCAAGAAGAGAATTCTGGAGAGGAGGAAAGGAGCATGTGGGA